ACACAAAAACCCAGATTTTCAAGGAAAATTAAATTTCTTATTTCAGATCTCAAAACATAAAGAAATACATGGTACCATTATCAATGAGTAAGGAAAAAAGAGGTTGGTCTAGGTGATTCGAAAAAAGCGGAATCGTATAGGTTAAAAGCGATACGATCTAGCAGCACTGAACCAGGAGCAAGGGCTTTACGTCATGAAAACATGACCACGAACATGACGAACAATGATGACCATTTCATGCTAAAGAATAAGTCTCTGCCACAGCAGACTGAATGTGTTTATTATCAAACTTCCTAATTAAAATATAACAAGGGAGTGAAAAAAGTACCTAAGTCATTAAATTAATTATAATATATAGTAATTAATTATACAGAGCGTCCTACGGCTACCTCACACGGAGGGAAAGTATATTAAATATTGAAGATAGGATATTTTAGTGAAAGAAGACATCATTTTATTTTTAATAATAACAAGAACTGCATTCACAGACTTTTTAAAAATCGCCTGCTACAACTGGGAATCAAACTCGGTGAAATTTCGAAAAAATAACACAACATATTTTATGATAACCATCGAAAGGGTTAATCATAAGAATTATTTTTTTGCTAAATAACATAGCATAATGTCATGTTATAATGAAAGAAAAGTAATTAAATTTAACATTTTATTTAAAATTATTTAACACAAACTAATATAAAATCGGATACGCCTCAAAATAATTACGAATTGAGTTCATCATATTTGACGTTTATCATCCGCTGCTGTGGTTTCTGTAAGCGCATATCAAAAGGTCCTAAATTTCTTAAAGTATCCACTAACCTTTTAATTAAACACATATCGAGAAGGTACGTCTCTATCAGAATATCTTTCGCGGTACCACCGCAAAGCTAATGTCTTTGTGGTACATAAAGTAAGCTTCCATTAAATCCATTTTATTTTGATACGCCATGGTAAATAAATTACCAAAAAAAAAATGCAAATAACAAAAATGAAACTCACAAAAACCAAAAGAATTCATTTTCGAATCATGATTTTAGTAAATTTCAGCCAATCGCATTGTAACTGTGAGTTCAATAAGAAATGCATACGTACTACAGTTTGTATATCACTTTATTATTTTTATCGCATAATAAGACATTCCTTTCATTTAAAATGTTATGTTATTTAGCAAAAAATATTCTTATGATTAACCCTTTCGATGGTTATCATAAAATATACTGTGTTATTTTTTCGTTAAGTTGTAGCAAGCGATTATTAAAAAATCAGTGAATGCAGTTTTTGTTATTATTAAAAATAAAATGATGTCTCCTTTCAGTAAAATATCCTATCTTCAATATATAATATACTTTCCCTCCGTGTGAGGTAGCCGTGGGACGCCCTGTATATGTATGTATGTTTATTAATTTATACATATGTATATTTATAATTAAATATATATATTTTATTTATATATAATATATATATTTATCGTTTATAGTATAGTTTTGTAGGATATTCTTTTTCTCTAATTTTAGTAGCCCGCACTCTATCACTAAAACATCCGTCTCATACACTCATACTGGTTGACTGGTAGAGAATGCCTATGGTATTGAGTCATAAAGAATAATTTTTAAAAAAATATTTAAATGTAATAAACGCATTCATTTTAATAAGAAACAGACCATTTTCTTGTAAATTATATATGTTGAAAAACTTACCAGAAATGTTATAAATGTTTATCCATAACTCCAATTAAAAAGATATTTGAAATAACTAAAACAATTAACACATTAACTAATTAACAACACACATAGTCCAAGCTGAGTGAACCTAGCACCCGACTTTTGAAAATCATTTTTTTTAACGATTCGTGAAGACTTTCGTATGTAGTTGATTGTAGTAAAAATTATTTCGTTTGTAGTTGCTTCAAAAAAAAGTTTTGGGACTTCAAAAATTCGTTAGCACCCCGATTCGGCCAAACTAATTTTTTTTTATTGATTCGTATCGAGAATCGTTTGTAGCTGATTGTAGTGAAAGAATTTTCGTTTGTAGTTTCTTAAAAAAAAGTTATGCGACTTTGAAAAATCCGTACCAACCCGTTTCAACCGTACCCAAATTTTCTGATTGATTCTCATCGAGAATCGTTTGTAGTTGATTGTAGTGAAAGAATTTTCGTTTGTAGTTGCTTCAAAAAAAAGTTATGGGACTTTGAAAAATCCGTATAATCCCGTTTCAACCGTACCCAAATTTTCTGATTGATTCTCATCAAGAATCGTTTGTAGTTGATTGTAGTGAAAGAATTTTCGTTTGTAGTTGCTTCAAAAAAAAGTTATGGTACTATGAAAAATCCGTACCAACCCGTTTCAACCATACCCAAATTGTCTGATTGATTCTCATCGAGAATCGTTTGTAGTTGATTGTAGTGAAAGAATTTTCGTATGTAGTTGCTTCAAAAAAAATTTGGTTACGGTTGAAACGGGATTATACGGATTTTTCAATGTCCCATAACTTTTTTTTGAAGCAACTACAAACGAAAATTCTTTCACTACAATCAACTACAAACGATTCTCATTACGAATCAATCAAAAAAATTGAGTTTGGCCGAATCGGGGTGCTAACGATTTTTCGAAGTCCCATAACTTTTTTTTGAAACATCTACAAACGAAATAATTTTTACTACAATCAACTACATACGAAAGTCTTCAAGAATCATTAAGAGAAAATTTGATTTTCCAAAGTCGAGTGCTAGGTTCAACAGTTTACTAGTCCATCATATTGTTAATTATTCATTTGAATATATGAGGATGGACAGAGGATGTGCCAATTTATATGTTCTTTGTCAATGTTACAACAGACTTCCTTATACAGTATCAATAACATGTACCACAATAAGAATACTATGCGAGCTATATGAAAAAGACTATTAGTCATAGGACTGTAAATGAAAATATTAATAATAACATCTAATAATACATCTAACATAATAATAATACACCTACATGTAAAAAGGTTAATTACCTATGTTTTTTTTTAAATAAATAAATAAATATTTCCAACACTCACACCAATAACTCTAGCCCCAAAGTAAGCACTATAAGGCTTGTGTTATGGGATACTAGGGTAACGGATAGAATACATTTATACTGTACATATATAAGTATATTTATATAGATTTACATATTAAACACCCATGACTGGAGTACAAATGCTCGCACTCGTACAATTCATCACACAAACATCTGCCCCCACGGGGGATTCGAACCCGGGACCTCTTGAGTCGGCGACACCATGAAAACCGGCTTATAAACCACTCGGCCACGGAGGTCGTCAAATTTATGTGGATTCTGGTATGGTTTTCTAGACCTGAACTTGGTTTTACAGCATTGTATCCTTGTCATTCGCTATACAGACTGAAAAGGGGGGACTGATGTTGGATTTGGTTTTAGGTTTGGAGAGTAGTGCCAGAATCGACACCAGTGTTTAGGTAATCACATGCATGTGTCCTGCCATTGTGTTTATAGTTTGTTATAGTAATGTACCCAGGTACTTATATATTTTTTTCTATTTTTGTAACATAGTATCCATATGTGGTTATGAGTAGTCATGCTCTCTTAAAAATCTCTTCCATGGTGCCGTGTGAGGCGGGTTGCTGAGTTCCCTAAAAAATGGTCGAGTGAAGCGATGGCTGATTCATGCGTCATGCTCGTGAACGGGTGCTACCAGCTTAGATGAGCCTGCTCTTGCTACATTGGGTACTATTAATCATTGTACTAAATTTTAACAGTTCATTTTTTTATGCCTAAACAATAGGACATGGCATTCCTAAACATTCCTAAACTTTGTTAAACCAGTTCTTTTGTATTTTATGGTCATAATTTTTATATTATTTGCATTTTTAATGGAAAGTGGCTTCATGAGTTACCTCATATTGAAGTCATTTTTCAATTTGATGACTGTATATAATACAGGGAGAAAAAAACAGCCCTTGCTGAGTTTCTTGCTGGTTCTTCTCATTACAAGGTCTCCAGCCGTAGATTTGCGAACCGATGGCGTAGCTTTTCGAAATTCACAAGTGCTTGTTATTATTCACAGCCTAGACTGAATAAATAATATTGAATTTGATTTTTTTGAATACAAAAAAATATATAAATACAATATATGATCTGAGATTTTTTTAAATACATAATAATATATAATACTTTTATTTGTTACACTATGCTCGGGCCCCAGCTTGGTCTAGCATGAGTCATCTTTTAGTCTCTTGTGGTCCCATTAGTTTATTTCCTGACCAGTTGTTTCTGTTCCAAATGTCCTGGGTTAGAATCCTGGTAAATAATTTATTTGCATGATGGCAATGTGATGGGCACAAACTTTGTTAGGATTAAATCAGTAAAATAATTATATAATTATGGTGTGGGCAAGGGACATTGAGATTAGTTTTTAGAATGTATGGGGCAATAGCAATGATAGATAAAATCACAACAACATGCCACAAACCTTCATAGGATCACAATGAGAATGAGGTAATAATTGATTTCAGAGCAAATTTCAGTAATCTGGTGGATTCAATATTTATGAAATTGTCTCTATTAGCATGCAAAGTAGATTAACAAATAAGTATTCTTAACAGGATTTATGCTTTGTTATTATAGAAATGGGTCAAGAATTTAACACTTCTACAAAAGTGCATGGACACAACAGGTAACCTTGCTTGTAAATAAATCTAGTTTCCCTAATAACATTTTTGTCAATTTCTTTAAAAACTTGATCGTCCCTTAGTAATAAATAATAATAAACTATGAGTGAAAAATTACTGAGTATCCCAGTTAACATGCCTTGGTAGTTTTTCTTAACACCAGATTCCCGGAACTGTATTAAAAAAATAGAAGGTATAAATAGTTTACGGACATTTTTTCACATTATTCGCAAAAGTCTGTGAAAATGTGTTACAATGTTTGAATTCTTACAACGTACAGGCGAACAGAGATATATTTGATAGAAAATCAAAAGAAAACACTCACTGAGAATAGCACCGTCGTATGGCTTCAAATGAGGAAATTAACTGAATCAAAATCTACGTATTCCAATAATGCTAGGCTTCTTTAGTCACGCAAGGTCAACAAATCTTTACGACACTATCACAACAACAACCAACAGCAGCGTGATTTTCTGTCAAAATGACGTATTTTTGTTTTTTAGTATTTTTTTTCCTTCTGTGAATAGACAAAGCATATAAGGTTTATACAGCCTCGTTTTTTTAATATAAAATGTTCGTTGGAATGTAAGTAGAGTGTGACGTATTCTGATGTAACTTAGAATATTTGACACGAAATATATCGAAACAGCATTCTCGCTGAGCTTCTATGAGGTAGTCAGTACTGCAATAATAAGTTCCCACGTTCACTTGAGAGAAATAATACAGTGAGCCACGACTGCAACAGAATATTACAACAATTGTATATCAGAGTATTAACTATGTATTATCACACTCAGCATATCGGCCAAGTAGCGAGCAGGATATGAAACTTTTGATAGGGTTTTGTTACCTTTCTTGAAGACGAAGACTATGACATTAACGAATCATACCTTTGGCTTAATAGTATAAAATTAATCCTGAATAACGAAATTAAACAGTCATGTGCAGCATTTTTTATAAAAAGATCCCAACAAATGACTCCACCCCACCTGATGTTAAGTGCTGGCGGAGTCTAGACGCGAAGACATGGTGCAACAGTTTTAGATTCCATACCAGCCATCCTCATCTTGCCGGGCTTCAAGTTGCTTCTTCACTACTCTTTCTTAAAAGGACCTAGGGTTATAGGAGGGAGGTAACATGTGAGCGAGCAAAGCATTCCATTTGCGGATAGTGCGACAAAGGTGTCTATTCTGTCATGATTAGCTAAACCTAAACTTAAATTTAACAATTTAACAACAATGTAACCTAGTCATACTACAGAATGAAAAGGAAAGACTGATGATAAATATAGTTTTAAGTTTAGAGAATCATGCCGGAATCGTCACCAAAGAAATGAGTCATCACGTGGTCCTTTGAAGGAAAGGGGAGGTGAGATAAGGAAAAATAACCGCTCAGAAGACTCGCCGTGATATAGACGACAGAATGCGCTTATTATAGCCACTTCAGGGCGTAATTAAGGAGAAGATTTGAGGTTATTAATTACCTCCATATCGCCAATGATGCGGATCACGCGCCGGAGCAAACCATCCAAAGCATCGAGTAAGTATTTAGTGGAGCCATCCCAGAGGTGCACGCAATATTCCACGCAGTACCGCACTTGTGTATACCGCAACAAGAACTGTTGTTCAATCGTGAAAAAACGATTTAATCACGCTTTCGATCTAAGACGTTTTTTGGATTAAAAAGTCACAGCGAAATCCCATATCCGGCATAGTATTACTGCTCTGTAACGGCAAGGAAGCGGAAGAAAATGCTGCGTTTTTTTGTTAAAGCGCAGCCCTAGGATTCAGCTCAACTTAGTTCTTAGTACCCCATCACCTGTTATTTTATAGCCAGTTAGGCAAATGACTCTACCCCACCTGATGTTAAGTGGTGATAAAGTCCAAACGCGAAGGTAGCTGGTACAATAGTTATAAACTTCTTCACGTCTCTCTTAAAGAACCCCAGATTGTAAGAAGGATCGCACATGCGTGGGCAAAGAATTCCACTTGCGAATAGCACGACAAAGATAAGTGAATAACTTCCATACCGAGCATGGTGATATTGCTCTGTAGCGCCAGTGTTGTGCCCTGAAGAGAGAGAAGGGGAAGAATCTTTTCTTCCCCTTCGATGGCGAATGGCGATGTTTTTGCTGTTAAAGCGCAAACCAGGGGATCAAGTGCGTAACGGGATTGGCTATCGCTATTGCTTATGATTTCATTTTGTTATTTCTGATTCTCGAAGGTTTTCAAATACCTTACGCTCATTTTCTTTAATATTTTTATTACCAATGCAACAGAAAAAAAACTTTTTTAACCTTCAGCGCTCAGTAATAAAAAAAAAAGAAATCGTAAGCGATAGCGATAGCCATAGCAATCTTGTTAGGCGTTTGGCCCCTTGGGTTTTCTTGGCATTGAACTCAAAGTTCCTGATACCCCATTCGGAAATGTGGCCCAAATCCTGATTGAGTTCAGCGACAAGATTCTCCCGTTTCTCCTTGGTTTCTACCTCTCCAGCCGTTGCGTGTCCAAAGTATCTTGCATGCACTGTACTATTGTCTGCATGCCAATGAATATTCCCAAGAGGAATCAAATCATTAATATGCAGCAGAAAAAGTGTGGGGCATAGCAAGGGGCCCTAAGGAACACCGGTATTCACTGACATGAACTGCGCACTACATCCGTCCGTAAGGAAGCGAATTCTACGCGCATGCAGGAAGTCAGCTACCCAGGCTCAGAACTGAGCACGCAGACCGTGTGCTGAAAGCTTGGAGAGAAGTCTTTTGGTCCAGACCCTGTCAAAAGCCTTGGCGATGTCAAGGCCGATAGTCAGAGACTTTCCCCGCTTGTCTATAGCTTCACCCCAGATGTGTGTCACGTACGCTAGAAGGTCACCCGTCGGTCGATTCAGCCTAAATCCGAATTGATGATCGTGAATCAGAGAATAATCTTCTAAGTAGCGGGTCAGATGGTTGTTAAGGACCCCTTCTAAGTCTTTACACAACACTGAGGTGACGATAGTTAGTTAGTAGTTAGTATCGGCCGATAGTTGATCGGGTCTGAGCGGTCCCCTATTTTGGGCATCGGTTGCACATTGGCATCCCTCCAAGTCTCCGGCACACGCCCCAAAGAGTACGAGAGTGGTACAAGCGCGTAAGTATGGGAGAGAACTCTGCTGCACAATGATCCAATACAACTGCTAAGATGTCATCGGGTCCCCTAGCTTTTCGGACGTCGAGTGATTGCAACTCCGCACGAACATCACGCTGTCTGATTTTAATATCAGACATCGTAGTGCCACACACTGAATAAGTAATCTAGCCATAATGAGGTAGTGTAGGTGGCAGTGCATTGCAATCATCGATTCAGGAGTCAGCCGCAAAGAGCTTTGCCAATAAATCGGCTTTCTCCTGCAGCTTATGAACTAGTGACCCATCTGGACATCACGTCTGGACATCGCAGAGGTGTCAGCGAGGGCTGGCAGAAGTTGTGCTGCACGGCCTTAGCCAAACGCCAAAAAATATTAAAAGAAGGCGCTTGACTTGCTATATCTGGGATCCTGGTGGGCTGATCGACTATTTGTGTCATGCGTAAAAACGAATACATGGGCAGAGATCACTGCATGGTCAGTTTTGGAGGAGCCCAACCACAAACTGTGGTGGGCGTTAAAGTTTTTAGTAGTATAGGAGTAAATATAAAATTCATTTACTTTTATTCGTCGACTATATAAAATTGGCATGGATGCATTTTCAACGTCCGGCTTTAAGATTGTGAAATACACAAATACAGTGTCATATCCTAGTCTCATAATATGTTTTACCTACATAATTCACAGAAACTAAATATGTATATGCCAGAGGTTAACTTTAAACGTTGTTAATCACCCTATATACAATACCAATCCATGACGATAACAATTGCACGTAGACGAAAGCAATTTTTTTTTTGGACAAGCGTCTGTTGTTTTGGACATTGGTGGCATCTGCCTTAGATCACTAAAGTAAATAATTATACAATTACCAAAGCTAAGTTTATAATATTTGATTAAACTAAAGGCGTAGAATAAGATTTCCAAAGCGTTAGGTACACCACCATAGCAATCTTATTTATTAACAGTTTATCACCCAATGTATAGATTATTTTAATTCCATGTAATAAAATCACTTTTCCAGAGTGCTGGACACTTACCGGCATTTTACTATATGCTTATATTTATTTGTAATAAAAATTCAGTTTCTTTTTCCATATTGTACTCCGTTTTTATTTAGGCATAGATGAATGATTGGTCCTCTTCACTCGACCAATGAGTGAAGCGAGACCAATCATTTATCTATGTTTTTAGGTATAATTTTGTTTATTTATTTTCCTGAAATTTGTGATATCTAAATGTTTTCTCCGTTGCCATGGCTAACTATGACACGGATACTCTTTCGAACTGGGTCTATGCCTATTCACTCTCCACATACAATAATACTTTCTATAATTCTTTTTAGTTCAATTCGAACCTTGTCTTAATTTAAATAGTTCCGGACCTATAAAAGGCTGAGCCACTCTGATCCTTCAATAATTTCTTCGGCAAAAGTCGCCAACATAACTTTGGCATAACTCGTTACCGAGCTCTAAATTAGTAAAAGGCCTCAAGCAAAGACTTAAAAGCCTTACACTATACACCCTTTGACTTTCTAAAGTCACTACTTTACTACAACACTTTACGGTCTTCCTCATCGACGTACCCCTACTACCGCCCGGACTCCAGCACCATCGTCCAGCCTCCAGCGGCTTCGGCTCGCCTACCATCAGCGCCTGCCGTTCCACCAGCAGCGCCGGTCATCTTATTACTTCGCCGGCCAGCCCACCAGCAGCACCGCCAGTCTACAGAGGGCAGACCGATAATTTAAAGACGCTTGACCAGGAGCGCTGCTGCCTTCCAGGAGCGCCGCCCGTCCGCCAGCAGCACGGCCTTCCGACTTTTAAGCCGACTTCAAAGCCAAAGGCAAAGTATTTCTATTGATAAAAAATATTTTTTTAATACAAAATGTGCATTTTGGAAATGGATAGAAATAATATTTTATTCTTGATTCACTATTTAAGCGATAATGGCTTACACATTGAAAATAGATATTTAAGCTGTCGCAGACTTCTTTGTAGAAATATTTAGAAGATACATTTCCCCAGATACATTATATTCATGTAAATTTTATCGTTTTTGCAGTGCAAATCTCCATTGGCCATATTGGCTCGCAGTTGGGAGATTTTTTCCGTCTTATGTGACACTTATTGTTATATTTTGGCCAATTCACTCAATAACTATATAAATTATCATCTGTATAATATTATTATGTACGAGCTATATTATTGTTCTTTCAGTAAAATCCATTCAGTATTTTTGGGTGAAAGAGTAACAAAGATCCATACAAACGTAAGATTTAAATTAAACGTGCAAGTGGTTTATATGCAACTTTAAATCGTTGTAGATCCTAAACAGTCATATAAAATGAAAAATGGTGTAATTGACCTAAACA